AGCATTTTGGAGATTTTAAATTTCTAAGTCAGTATGTATCTTAGAGTTGAGGCAGTTTTCTGCTTTCTTTTATGATTGTGGTTAAATGGATAGCTCATTTCACATCTTCGAACTATGTGAACGAGGTACAAATTTTTTGTATAGTAAGATAAAAAGCAACCCAAAGAGCCTTAGTGTGTTTGTGACCTGAAAATTGGAGGGTGGTTCCCCACAGAAAATACTTAGGAAGGAAAAGTTACTGTCCCAGAAGTAGGGTACTCATTCTTTCCACTATACTCTCTTGAGGACCTAGAGTATGCCAAGCTCCAGGGATGCAGGTTGGTAGTGGGAAACATTGAACATCCTGAGCTTAGTTCTCAAGTCACAGAGCAAAAGTACAAGTCTGATTGTATCTGTGCCAGTCTAAGGAAGAGCTAGCTGTTCAAGGGGCTGGAAAAAGCAACCAATTTAGCATATCACATGTGATACATAACCTGTAATATAATGGAGACTGACCAAATAGTCAAGCTCCATTATAAATGCCTATGTACATTCATTTGTACAAAGAATCCAGTATGGATTTGGTTCAGTCCTGTCATATTGCAGGAGTAAGTTTGTGGAAAACTTCATGATAATCATTCAGAATCTAGACTGAAGGACTTGTGTGAAAGTTCACCATGTCTCATATCCTAGCGATAATTTCTTCAGACTATATGGGAGCTGTTCCAGTCTCATGACTAGCATTTGGAGATCAGTTAAATGCTTCTGGTCAGGGAGGTAGAGATAAAAGAAAAGTGGAACAGGGGACAAATTCACCCAGAATGTTCAATGTACTATGTGATAAAGGAAGTGGAAAATGTGAAATTAGCCTGGGGGGGATAGAACAGACAAGATGGGGAAAATGATGGAAGGGTGACTGTGAACAGGAAGTATTGGACATGTAAGTGTACATGTTAAAGTGTAATCCCCTTGTACAAAACAATTTAAAAAGAACTTTCTCTTATTCAAAAATGAAACAAAACAAAAACTTAGCCACTGGCTGTGTGGCTGCCATTAAGGAAATTCTGGTCAGAAGGAACAAAAGATCTCATCCTCTTACCCAGGGAGGGTAGGAAGTCAAGGATGGTTGCTGACATTTGTCCCTCAAGAGGTCCACCTGCTTCCACTCATCATTTTATGTGCCTTTATAGTATTGTCCCCTCTGTCTTGAATTTTCTTTGCTCTTTCTCAGCTTGGAATCTCATTTGTCCTTTCAGATTTAGGTCATTGGATTAAAAGTCCATGAAGATGTAACTGTAATCCCTCTGTACAGTATTTTTTGGGGGGGTCCAGTCGTGGGGCCTGTACTCTGGGCCTGGGCGCTGTCCCTCAGCTCTTCAGCTCAAGGCTAGCGCTCTCCAACTTGAGCCACAGCACCACTTCCGGCTTTTTTTCTTTTTGCTTATGTGGTGCTGAGGAATCGAACCCAGGGCCTCATGCATGCAAGGCAAGCGCTCTACCACTGAGCCACCTTCCCAGCCCTCTGTACAGTATTTTTACAATAAAAAAACACAAAAAAGTCCATGCAGTTTGTCATACACAATGCTATTTTATGATTATACATTTATTTGTGTTCCCAGTGACTCTGACAGTGCTTGGGATAAGGCGTTGGCTTCATAAAACATGTTGGATGAAGGCAGCTGAAGGATTAAACTTCCTGATGCTTTAAGAGAAGTCAAGGTGAGGAGAAGACATGTGAGTTAGGGTAGAGAGTCCCAGAGAAAATGTGACAGAAGCACACAGTGGTGAGGGAAAGCACAGCAGAGATCTAGTAATCAGAATCAAATAAGGATAAGAATGACAGAAAGTTGCTTGAGCATCTGGTTGATACCTTGGGTAGCCATTATCCTGATGGTCTGCACTTTTTGCCTGAACACATGCAGTTGATCTGCACTTTTAAGGGAAGAATCACTGGCCGAGAGAGTCCCAGAAGATCCCTCCCCTCCCCCTGTAACCTAGAAAGACTTCCTGGAATTCCTGGCAGCAGCAGGAGAGAGTACTGTCCTCCTTGTCTCTCAAGAACTGCAGTTTGCATCCATTTCACTAGACGCCTAACTATTGCTCCATATTTCCAAGCCTCCAAACTCAACGCTCCATTTACCTCACCCTTGTCTGGACTCCAGACACAATCAGAAAGCTCGCATGTTTAAACAAGCCAGGAGAAAGTTGCCAAGAACAGAGGTCTGTCTTGATTTGAAAAATCAGGTTGTATTCTGCAAGAAAAAAATGTCCTGTGGTTTCCCACAATTTCCCAATTGGAAACATTCAGAGTGTGAGGTTTAGAGAATGTAGGGCTGGGAATATCAGGTTGAGAGAGGGCAGTCCCATATTTCCAGGCTGAAGTACTTGTTGGTCAGACATGCAGGAGCTCTTAAGAAAGTCTAGTTGACTTGCCTAGGGTTGGATGCCAGTTGTTATTCCTCTCACTGGAGCAGTGTAAAAGTGTAGTTCAGTGCAAGTCTTCTAATTCCCTAGTCTCTCCACTCTACTGCTGAATTCCAGGGGAGGAACCCTGCTGGTGTGAAGCTCTGATCCACAACCACTTCCTTCTTAACCCATGGCTGATAATCGAAGTGTCATAGTGTGGCACAGTTCTCTCTGCCAAGGCCCTGCCTGGTCTCTAGAAGTCTATTACATTAGAGCCAAGACGTATACAAAAGTGGAAAAGCCACCAACTCAGAAGTGTGGCATACCTCCAAGGTAATCTTTAAACTGCAGTCCTGACATACACTGATGTTTTGGAACACTGTAACATATGTCAATTCCCAAATCACACTGGTTTATTTTAATGCAGAACTATTATTTGTCCTTGGGTGGAGAACATTAGGAGCCTACCATAAGATGTTCCTGGAAGAATACATTAGTACATCAAAGGGAAAGATTCAACAAAGTAGAAGTCAATTGTTACTAGAGTTAAAGATGAGGATGTCATCCTGCATATGGACAAGGGCCTTTGTCAATGTCCATATCACTAATAGGTCTGTACACAGGCCAGTGAAGCTTTGGACCTCCATCCAGGAAGGAACATCAGACAAGGCATTGAGGTGAGGAGCAGATTAGCAGAAGGTTCCTTTGCATTGCTGGAGAGAGGGCACTGTGAGTTTCTGGATATTTTTTATATAAAAAAAAACACTGGTACAATACAGGGTTGTATGTTCAATGCCTTAACGCATTGATAATCCTCTTCTTTAAGACAAAGGATCTGACTGTTTAATACATTCCTATATTTTTCTGTTTATTTTCATAGGCTGGCCATGTGCTTCTCTTGGCAAAATGGCTGTTAATGCAAAAGAATATACTGACAGTGGTTTGTGTATTTGTGTTGTTGTAGAAGGCAATCAAGCCCCATGTTCTAGCTATTCTTAGGATGAACTAATAACATTGATTTTGTGGGCCTTCAAAACAGTGGTTCAGCTGCTGAACTCCCTGGAACCTTATCAAGGTAGCCTCTGGACTCTGACCTATCTTCCTGGATGGTATCCTTGGCTCCTCCACCTCTATCTGCTAGGTGGCATGCTACAGAAGCTTCTCTATGCTTTCACTTTCCCCCTGTATTTCTGTGTTCATTTGAAACCTTCTTAATTCTAGGCATTGTATATCACCTGGAGGATGAATGAGCATGGGAGTTGACACGGGGTCCTGGTGCTTCAGCAGCTGAAACTTAATTCATGTTACTCATCTGTAAAATCAGCTGATGTAATTATATCCATTTCCCAGTGGGTGTTGGAAAGCCTAATTACCACTTGTGAAATGTTTTGAAGTTCTCAAAAGAAAGCTGGCATATTATGGCACAGTATGAGTCTCACAATAGTAATCCTTTCCAGTTTTCCTTGAGGCTAAGTAGTATTAATATTGCCAGTCATGAAACTGTTGTAACAAAGTATGACTACTATACATTGTGATACTACCTTAATACTTAAAGTATTGCTGTGCTCATGAAAAACTCTTAACTAGAAATGATGGTGATAGACTAGGTCACTTGTTATGAGATTGCACTGTTTTTGGATTCCAAAAAAAATAAACTAATGGAGTTCTTATGGGGTTGGCATTTGAAAGAGCATCAAACAGCAGGAGCATTCTTTGAACACCTAGTATACAGCAGCCAGTGTGTTAGGTCATTTCTCCTTGAATCTTCTTAAGACGCTGGTAGAGTGTGATTTATTGTCTCTCTCTTGCAGAAGAAAATAAGTGAGGTTTAGTAAAGTTGACTCACTCAAGGAAGATGAAGTTGGCACTTGTAAGCAGGGTGATAGGTAATGAAGACGCGATCTGAGATAAGATAAGCACAAAGTCCAGGCAGGAGTTTAAAAAGGTAGGTTCCACATGCCCACTTTATGCATCCCCATCAATAGGCTTTCTGCTCACGGAGAGCAAAAACCCAGGAGAATTCAGTCGGATAGAGAGATGATTATTTTAGTTCAGTGTAATGTGAGTTTCAGATTGCAAATGAATCTGGATGTCTGAGGTGTGGAAAGCAAGTCGGTACACAAACTGTGGCTTTCCGAAGAGATCTGAAAGGTGAGGTTTGAGCTAGATCAACAAAATGCAACATTTTACCCATTGCCATAACTTGCCTGCCCCAAGATTCACTTGTTTCAGGAGAAAACTCCAGAAAGCAGCTTGAAGCCAGGTGACAGGTGTCTTGGAAGACCTTACAGGGGAGGGGGGCGGGATTACTAGGTGGAGTGCTTCCGCCTTCACCCAGTGAGCATCCTTCTGCGGTTCTCCACTCCGGGTCTCCATCTCCCTGGCTCCACCTCCCCTCTGTGTACTCTGCTGACAGCTGGAGTACCGAACAACGTCCATCCCCGAGGCCGAGAGCTCAGGGAGGGGCTCAGGGCGCATGCGCAGTTGCTCTACGGAAGCCCACAAGGAGGGGCGGGGTGTGTGTGCGCGCGCGCGTGTGTGTATGTGTGCGTGTGTGTGCGTGCGTGTGTGTTTGTGTGTGTGTGCGTGCGTGTGTGTTTGTGTGTGTGTGCGCGCGCGCGGGCGCGCGCCCGCGCGGCGGCTCAGGTTTCTTGGGGCGGCGGCGTTGTCGTCGGGGACGCGGTGGCGTTGGCACCATGACCCCGCTGTAACGCGCAGGCTGTGCGGCGCGGGGGGAGGGGGGAAGAGGCGGACGCAACCGTGAAGTTCTCCGCCATGAACCTGAGGGGCCTCTTCCAGGACTTCAACCCTAGGTGAGGCTCTGGCGTTGGCCGCGTTTCCAGGACTACCGGAGGGCGGAGGAGTTGGGCGCGAGCTGGGGCTCGGGTTCCGGGGAGGCGAGGCGGCTGAGATGCTGCAGCCCGAGGACCCTTCCTGACCCTCCTGATGGGGACCAGCAGCTCTCGGGCTAAGCTTAGGGCCTCTGCGCTTGGCTGTGTGCGCGCTCCTCCCGCGTCAACTAACAGCACCCGGCCACGGCCCAAGTCGCCCAGCTCGGAGCCCTGTCCCTCCCCACGGGAAGCCTATTGCTCTCTGCCTGCCCACCCTCCGTGGGATCCCGACTTACCCCACTCGTTCCCATCGTTTCGACTTCCAGTTTCACTTCCCATTCTCGGTGCGAAGGCCAGTCCCTTGGTCCGATGCCCCTATCCCTGACCCCAACCAGCTCTTTCCTCCAGCCCGTCAGTCCTTGAGGTTTTCCTGCAGTTTGTGCCCATCCCTCTTTTGCTCGATTTGTTGTTGAACTGATGTGTGAAACATTCTGAGATCCTTGATGTGTGTGTCAGGGTATGGCCGTATCTTACATAATGCATGGGGGGGGGGGAATGAACGTGATAATATTCTACACACATGTTTCCCACCGGTCTTGGCTACGTTATTTGCAGGAAGTAGAAATTGCTGTCCTTATTTTCCAGATGGAGAACATCCAGTCGACTGTGAGGAGAAAAGTCTGGCTAAGGAATCAAGTCTATACACTTGCACTTGTGCAACTCTTCTAAAACTCCTTTCTTCCCTAGGCTGCGAGCTCTCTGGAGTAGAACCCATCTCCTCTCTTCTCCCTTTCTGGCACCTTCTATCTATCCACCTGGTCTGCAGTACATAGTAGGCACTTTTTGAAATGCCACCTGGATTGGAGATCAGGCCATAGGAAAGCAGATGATTCTCTGCCCTTCTTAGGCCCATCTATAATATAAGGAATTGGTCAAATACATCTCTTAAGGCCTCTACTCAATGGAGAGGGTATCTGTTTCTGTTATTACCAAGTAGGAAGCCGGATACTGTAAACCATTTGTGTTCTAAGTCCCATGCTAGGTACTTCAGATGCTGGGCATTCCCATCATGTGAGTAAAAAGGGGCCTGTAAATAGATGATTTCCTGAACAGTACAGTGCTGAACTGTAAGAACATATCTTGGCGGCTTGTTGGGAATTAAACAAACTCTTGGAAGAATGTGCATGTGTTAGGGGTACAGTCTCCTTAGGGATGATGACTTGTTTATTTTTTTTTAATGATCTTTAAGTGTTTTACAAAGGAGTTTCAATTCGACATGCAAATTAATAAGCACTTTGATCAATGTCAGCTGGTGACATTTTAAGCTATGAGCTATTGTGACTTCCAAGGTGCTCTTATTCCTCTGAGTTCATATTCTAATATTGTGTGCCAATCTCCTTTCCCTGTGCAGTCATTATCATTGTTGGCATTGAAGGTACTCTGGCAGAGAGGAATTTATTTAGAGTAGACACCAGAGAACTAACTGTATTGTCATTCCCTTCTGCTTGTTGGAGTTGAGCTTGGTTTGCAAGGGAGCAGTTGGAGCTGGACATGCCTTGTGTGTCTTCATTGTTTGCAGAGAGTGTAATGAGAAAGATATGTAAAAGCTGAATTTGTTTTATGTCCTTGGGTAACCCACTTACCTATTTAATCTTTAGACTGAGTATAATCCCTCACTAGGCTAGTGAGATTGAATTAATGATTGACTGCAAATGATTTACAAACAGAAAGTTCCCTAACTTGTTTGCCATAGGATAGATCTAATAATCTCTCAGGCTAACAGTCATGACAGAAAAATAGTACTGTACTGTTAAAACCTTTAACCATGTTTTCCTTAGCCTGTTTCCCCCTCTCCTCCCCATACTAGTATATTCTGTGCTGAACAGATTTATAAGAATTACCAACATATTTATCTGAACCTGATTTATACCTGGTTAAAATGCGTCTCTACCTAAAATGGTCAAGGTATTTTTAACTATGTCATTTTCCTGATTCAGAGTTGCCAATGGGAGAGAGCAGTGGCACTTTACAGATGTTTCAAGAAGATATTGAATGAGTAATATTGGCGAGTTGGTTTTATCTGACGGTGTTTCATGTCTGGATACATCTTATTTTTGACAGTGTGCTTTTGCCTTAGAAGAGCCTTTCAGTCAGCTAGACAGAAAACTTATGGACATAGAGGGAAATACCTTGTGCTAGGGCATCAGGTCTTGCTGCTGCTGCCTTGCTTCTTGCCTTTAATTCTGAGCCAATTCATAACCACTCTTCTACCCCAGGATCTCCAAACACACTCTTCACTTTATTGGGAATATTTCCCTTCTTTCTGAGCTAGTTGACTCCTATTTATCCTTAAGATTTCTGCTCACTAGGTTCTAATTCATGGAAGCCTCTCTGAATTACCCAAACAGGTCCATTATTCTGTGTTTTTGTGCCATAGACTGCCTTTATGCCACTTATTTGTGCCCTGCGTTTGTCTGTTTTACTTGATTTATACCTCTCTCCCCTACCCTTAACATGATGTAGGGCTAAGGCCATGATTCTATTATTATTGTAATTTGTGCATATGAGATAATAGCTGGCCCAGTAAAATGTTTGTGAAATGAATGAGTAAATAACTCTCCAGAGCCTAAAAGAACAATCAATGGCTGCCTTTATCTTGAAAATCACATATGTGTCACAAAGCTTGGTAGTTCCCAAGCCAGGTTGTGGCTCAAGATCTTCATTCCTAATTTCAGGTCTTGGTGAATCAGAACCTGCTGCAGTATTGCCAAGACTGTGGAAACTGCAGTGACAGAAAATGATTCACAGTGTTAACAGTTGTGTAGGGCTGCCAGCTTATCCTCTACCTATTTCCATCTGGCAATAGAACCGGTTGATTATGAACTTCTGTTCTAACTGCTTTTTAATTATAGATGTTAAGACGTATACTGACTGATATTCTGGACCCACAAAGAAGTTCTTTCTTCAATGTCTGAGGCTTCCTTAACAGCTTATGAACTCTATTCATAGAATATGATTCCTGGACATTCCTGGGAGATAGGGATCTAGGAGTTGGTGGCTTTCAACAGGTACCCAGGACAATATCCCAAGATCTTAGATTTTCTTTCTTTCTTTTTTTTATTGTAAAGATCATGTACAGAAGGATTACGGTTACATAAGTCAGGTAATGAGTACATTTCTTCTTCTTTTTTTTTTTTTTGGCAGTCATGGGGCTTGAATTTTGGGCTTGGGAGCTGTCCCTGCGCTCTTCACCTCAAGGCGAGTGCTCTACCGCTTGAGCCACAGTACCACTTCTGGTTTTCTAGTGGTTTATTCAAGATAAGAGTTTCATGGACTTTCCTACCCAGGCTGGCTTTGAACCGTGATCCTCAAATCTCAGCCTCCTGAGTAGCTAGGATTACAGGCGTGAGCCACTGGTACCGGGATGTACATTTCTTTTTGATGAGTGTTAGCCTCCCTCATTTTCTTCCCCATTTTCTTCCTCCTTCCCCCCAAGTTGTAAAGTTCATTTCCAACATAGTGTCTAGTGAGTATCACTGTTGCATTGGTTACCCTTTGTCCAGATGTTCCTGTGATTTCCCTTTCCTTTCCCCAAATCAGATAAACTTATATACAAGACAAAGGGTACTGAATCAACAGGGCATAAATATAAGGGAATAAAAGGTGAGGAAAAAGAAATAACTGCAAACAGTACATTATATAAACCTCTTGTTTCCATTTCTTGGAGTTCATTTTGATAAGCTTCATTTTATATGGTCATATGAGCTATTGTGATCCTCTGCTAAGAATATCATAGGCATATTCTAGAATGAGAGAAACTCTGCAGGCTGTGTTTCTTGGTCTGGCTTGCTTCATTTAATATAATTTTTTCCAAGTCTTTCCATTTCCTTATGAATGGGTCGATGTAATTCTTTCTGATGGAGGCATAGAATTCCATTGTGTGTATATACCACATTTTCTTGATCCATTCATCTACTGAGGGGCATCTGGGTTGGCTCCATATGTTAGCTATGGAAAATAATTCTGCAGCGAACATGGTTGTGCTGGTCACTTTAGTGTGGTCTTGTTTCTAGTCATTTGGAGAAATGCCAAGGAGTGGCATTGCTGGGTCATACGGAAGCTCTATGATTAGTCTTTTGAGGAAACCTCCATACTGCTTTCCAGACTGGTTGAACAAGTTTACATTCACACCAACAGTGTAGTAAGTGTTCCATTTGGCCACATCCCTGCCAGCCTCTGTTATTATCAGTTTTCTTGATAATGGCCATTCTAAATGGGGTGAGGTAGAATCTTAATGTTATTTTGATTTTTATTTCTTTTATGGCTAAAGATGTTGAACATATCTTCATTTGTATATTGGCGATTGTTATTTCTCCTTCAGAGAAGAAGAAATTTAAGTCTTTAGCCCAAGATCTTGGATTTTCTACCACTCTCATGGAATTGTTGACTTAGTAAACAGCAGAGGACCAGAAGTCCTTTAGCTCCTCTAGCCAGGCAGCACTGAAAGGCTGTGAGAGCTTTCTCTCAGGTGTGCTGGACTAGGAGGAAAAGATTGAGAAATGCCTCTCTGGGGTTTTCATAATGAAACTTGAGTCAGCATGGAGGACTGATGAGGTCAGTGTGTTTGAAACTTCTTTTATGTGTGTGTCAGCACCAGGGCTTGAACTCAGAGCCTCATAGTGTTATTCGGCTCGCTCACAACTGGCACTCTACTACTTGAATCACACCTCTAGTATTTGCTTTCCTCCTCCCTCCTCCTCCTCCTCCTCCTCCTGCTGCTGCTGCTGCTGCTCCTCCTCCTCCTCCTCCTCCTCCTCTTCTTCTTCCT